TATATATATATATATATATATATATATATATATATATATATATATATGTGTGTGTGTGTGTGTGTGTGTGTGTGTGTGTGTGTGTGTGTGTGTGTAAGCATAAGCTTGCCACAGCAGACCTGAGGAGGTCAGAGCACAGTGGAACCTAGGGTTTAAACTCAGGTGTCAGGCTTGGTGGCAGTCACCTTAGCTCACAGAGCCATGTCCACATGCTAAGTTCCTATTTCTGACAATATGTATCAAACAAATTCTATTATACATGGAGGGACCCATGGGTTCAGCTACATATGTAGCAGAGGATTGCTACAGTCAATTGGAGGGGAGGCCCTTGGTCTTGTGGAGGCTTGATACCCCAGCATAAGGGGGATGCTAGAGCGAGTGGTGGGTGAGGCAGGAATGGTGGGTAGAGCACCCTCATAGAGGCAAAGGGGAAGGGGGATGGGATGGAGGGTTTGTGAAGGGGAAACCGGGAAAGGGGACAACATTTGAAATGTATATAAATAAAATAACCAATAAAAAATAGAAATACACAATAAAAATTGGGATATTTAAATAGAAAATTCTAGTGACGTAAAAGTGATCATCAAAAATATCTTGTGTGTGTGTGTGTGTGTGCGTATGTGTGTATGTGTGTGTACACATGCATGTTTATATGTGTACACAGTGTGGAGGTCACAGTTCTACATCAGGAGTCTTACTTAATTGATGGCCACCTTACTTTTTGAGACAGGTCTATCACTGAACCCTACTGATTTCACTTGGCTAACTGGGCTTTTAGCTCCAGAGAGCCTCCTGTGCAGCCTCTCCTAGCAACAGGGTTACAGGTACACTCGGCTTCTTACACAGATGCTAAGGATACGGACACAAGTTCTCATATATACATGGCCATCTCTCCAGCCTGAAGATCTTATTTTTAAATCAAAAGAGATAGACTTTCAGGAGAGCAAAAACTGGAGTGATGTCTCCAGTCTTGGAAGGAAGTTCGCAGAGTAGGTCAGCACAGAAAGTCATACATATTTGTCAGTCAATAGCCAGTCATCGGCCTGAAGTGAGAGGCTTACTGAATTACATGACCTCATGTTTTAGAGAGGAGATGGCCTTGGCAGAGCAAGTCTTTGTTTCATTGGTAGACTTAAAACATCTGGGAAAAATATCTTCAAACCCAGATCTATAATCCTATTTAGATGAAACCCTGATGTAAAACAAAATCTTATCATTATAATGTCTGTTAACCTTTTATTTCCAAGTAATTACATTAAGTAAGTTGTCATGAATCGTTCTTCATGGTAAAAGTCTTTGCATGTTTTCTTCTTTTTAGGTAATTGACTTTATCTTTAATTGGCACATTATAATTGTACATATTGGACGCAGGATGAAGTTTCAACAGTGTTTAGTTACGTTAATGATTGATTAAACTGATTATCTTATCTATCGTCTCAACAATGGTTATTTACTCTGTCGAGAATGTTCACAAGCCTTTCTTCTGCCAATTTAAAAATTATTTCTTTTTTCTCTTTAATTGCCACATTGCACCCATTGGCCAGTGTCTTCTCATCTAACCCTCTGTTCTATCCTTCCCAAGGTCTGGGAAACAGAATTCTACTCACAATTTGTATGAAGTCAGCCTTCAGATTCTACATGAGAGGGACGTGTGCTTGTTTCAGTTAACAGCACGCTCTGCAGCTTTTCTCATGTCACGAATTTCAATTACACTTGTGTGAAAGAACAATATTTTACAGTGTACCTCTTTAAATCCATTCTTCCACTATGACCACCTGAGAAAGTTTTACTTCTTAGCTACTGCCAGTGATGTTGTTCTGAACACAGGGGTGCAGAGATCATTCTAGCATACTTACTACATTTCCTTTGGTATACCCAGTAGTGAGACTCCTTTGGTATACCCAGTAGTGAGACTCCTTTGGTATACCCAGTAGTGAGACTCCTTTGGTATACCCAGTAGTGAGACAACTGGGTTATACAACAGTTTGGTTATTAAGCTTTTTGAAGACTCTATACCATTTTCTACACTAGCTGGACTAATTTTCTTCTCTAACAACAACGTATAAAGGTTCATTTTTTTCTGCACATATTTACCAAAATGTGACATTTTTGTCCTCTTGATAAGGGCCATTGGTTATTCTAATAGGAATGCTTTAATATCTTATGGTTTTGATTTACATTTGATTCATATGCCTGTTCTCCATTGTATATCTCCTTTTGAGAAATGTCTATTCAGATGGCTTGCTCATTTTGTCATTGTTGTCTCTCTCTCTCTCTCTCTCTCTCTCTCTCTCTCTCTCTCTCTCTCTCTCTCTCT